TCGCACCAACTATGGCGAGTGGGCGGTGACCATAAAAGTCAAGCTCAGAGCCCGATGGCTCTGGAATGGCATAGACAAGGACACCGACAACGAGAAGATGACATGTGAGCATTGGAGACTATCCTCGCTGTTGTGCCAGCGGAGTACAGGGAGCCGTTGGGGGCGAAGAACTCTGCTAAGGATGCATGGGAGGCCATTGCAGCGATGCGCGTTGGCTCCGACCGCGCAAAGAAGACGACGGCTCAGCTGCTGAAGCAGGAATACGCCAACCTCAAGTTCAAGGATGATGAGTCGGTGGAGGACTTCTCCCTTTGCCTGCAGTCGCTCATCAACAAGCTGAGGAGCCACGGCGTCACCATCGATGAAGAAGAGGCGATCCCCAAGTACCTCAACTCCATGCCGGTGAAGTACAACCGGATCGCTCTCTCCATAGAGACGATGCTAGACTTGTCCACCCTCACCATTGAAGATGTGACAGGCCGTCTACGGTCGATGGACGAGCACATGGAGCAGGCCACAGCAACGATGGACAGTGGCAAGCTGCTGCTGACACAGGAAGAGTGGGCTGTCCGGATGAAGGAGAAGAAGTCTGGGGAAGCCTCCTCTAGCTGTGGTGGCGATGACAAGCGCCGCAGCAAGGCTTCTTCGGAGAAGAAGAAAAAGAAGGTCGACCCCAACGCCTGCCGGCGCTGTGGGAAGACGGGCCATTAGGCAAAGGAGTGCCCAAATCTCAAGCAGGAGAAGAAAGGCTGAGGCTCATTTAGCGTAGGCTGATGAAGCCACTCTCTTGATGGCGACGTTATGTGCACTACACGACGTTGAGGCCAAGGAGAAGGGAGAGGTGATGGCGGTGGAAGGGCACGGCAAGGCTCTAAAGGCTGTCAACCTCGACGAACTGCGTGCCCAAGTCCATCTCGGACGTGTGGGCGGCGAGCAGGAGCAGCGGTAGTACCTGGACTTCGGCGCCAGCAACCACATGACGGGCTCCAAGGCAGCCTTCTCCGAGCTCGACGGCAACGTGACCGGCATGGTGAAGTTTGGTGATGGCTCAAGGGTAGCGATCCGAGGGCGCGGCACCATCATCTACAGGTGCCAGAACGGCGAGCACTACGCGCTGACGGATGTATATTATATCTCGCAGCTGCGTTCAAGCATCATCAGCATTGGCCAGCTGGATGAGTGCGGTAGCGAGGTATAGATCAAGGACGACATCCTCAGGATCAGGGACCGGGAGCAGCGGATTCTTGCCAAGGTGAAGAGGTCCTGGAACCGGCTGTATCTGCTCGACTTGAAGGTGGAGCAGCCGGTATGCCTGGCAGCACGGCACATCGAGAAGCCGTGGCTGTGGCATGCCCGGTTTGGCCATCTCAGCTTCGACGCGCTCAGTTGGCTGGAGAAGATGGTTCGAGGGCTACCCCACATCAAGCACGTAGGCGAGCTGTGTGACAGTTGCCTACCCGAGAAGCAGAGGAGGCTGTCGTTCCTAAAGGCGGCCAAGTATCGCGCGGCGGACGCTCTCGAGCTCGTCCACGGCGATCTTTGCGGGCCAATCACGCTAGCCACAAACAGTGATCGGCGGTTCTTCCTCCTGCTCGTGGATGATTGCAGTCGCTATATGTGGCTGCAACTCCTGACGAGCAAGGACGAGGCGGCGGAGGCGATCAAGAAGTTCAAGGCGCGTGTGGAGGCGGAGAGCAGCAAGAAGCTACGCGTGCTGCAGATGGATCATGGTGGCGAATTCACTTTGTTGGAGTTTGGTGCGTACTGCGTGGATCAGGGTGTGGTGCAACACCACACCGCGCTGTACTCGTCGCAGCAGAATGACGTGGTGGAGTGGCAGAACCAGATGGTGGTCGGCATGGCTCGATCCATGATGAAGGCCAAAAACATGCCAACAAGGTTCTAGGGTGAGGCGGTGACCATGGCGGTGTTCATCCTCAACCGCATGCCCACAAAGGCCCTAAAGGGCGTGACGTTGTTCGAAGCTTAGTATGGGCGCAAGCTGAGCGTGTCCTTCCTCTGGACATTCGGCTGCATCGGCCACGTCAGGAAGACGAAGCCAGTTCTCACCAAGGTGGAGCACAGGAGCACACCGATGGTGCTCCTAGGCTACGAGGAAGGTACCAAGGCGTACCGGCTCTACGACCCACGCAGAGGCAAGGTGGTTGTCTCGCGTGACGTCATGTTCGACAAGAAGGTGCCCTGGAACTGGGACAGTCCGGGCATGGGGGAAGCTGGCGGTTTCACCAGCACCTTCGTCGTCGAGCACTTGGTCATCCGCGGTGGTGGAGATGCTGGAGAGGAGGTGCCGACCACTCCAGCAACAGAGCCGAGCACTCCTAGGGTAGTGCTGAGCACTCCGGGAAGGGTGCCGAGCACTCTAAGAGTGGTGCCGAGCGGTCCTATAGTGGTGCCGACCACTCTAGGACGGGGGCCGAACACTCCCGTAGCGGAGCCGAGAGGTCGTGCAGTGGTGCCGACCACTCCAAGACTGGTGCCGAGCACTCCTGCAGTGATGCCAACCACTCTAGGAGTGGTGACGAGCAGTCCAGGAGTAGTGCCAAGCACTGCAACTGGGGTGCCAAGCACTTCAGGTGTTGTGCCAACCACTCCGGCGGAACAGGGGACTCCATCGACGCCGATCGAGTTCGCCTCACCCCCAAGCGACATCACCGAGTCCGTGGATGCCTTCAACGACGGTGAGGAGGTGCGGTTCAGTAGGCTGGACGACATCGTCGGTGGCACAGGGTCCTCAAGCCTGGCGGGTCGGCTGCTCAATGACCAGAGCTGCTTCTCATCAGTGTAGAGGAACCACCCACGTTCCCGCTGGCCGAGATGCTGGAGGAGATGAAGTTGATTGAGGAAAAAAAAGACTTAGGAGCTTGTCGATCCACCTCCAGGATGCCGTCCGATCGGCTTGAAGTGGGTGTACAAGGTCAAGCGGGACGAGCACGGTGTCATTGTCAAGCACAAGACGCGCCTCATCACCTGAAGCTTTGTCTAGCATGAGGGCATCGACTTCGAGAAAGTCTTTGCGCCGGTAGCGCGCATGGAGTCCATCCGACTACTGCTGGCTTTGGCAGCAGCGAAGGACTGGCGCGTCCATCACCTGGAAGTAAAATCGGCCGTCCTCAACGGTGAGCTGGCGGAGACGGTCTTCGCTAGGCAACCTCCGGGTTTCGCCGTTAAGGGAGCGGAGCACAGGGTGCTCCGACTGTGCAAGGCACTCTACGGGCTGCGGCAGGCCCCGCGAGCATGGAACGTCAAGCTTGACGCCACGCTGGGTGAGCTTGTGTTCACACGGTGCGCAACCGAGCACACGCTCTACACGCGGAGATGGGTGGAGGAGGAGCTCGTCATCGGCGTGTATGTGGACGACTTGATCTTCACCAGCGCACGTGCGAAGGACATTGACAGCTTCAAGCGCAAGATGGTGGCTCATTTTCGAATGAGCGATCTCGGCGTGCTCTCCTACTACCTCGGCATCGAGGTGAGACAGGGGAAGGAGGCGCTCACGCTCGGTCAGAGCGTGTACGCCTCGAAGCTGTTGGAGCGGAGTGGCATGGTTGAGTGCAAGCCGTGCATGACTCCGATGGAGGAGTGGCTGAAGTTGACGAAGTACCGTGGCGAAGGTAGATGCAACACTCTAACGGAGCATCGTCGGCGGTCTATGCTACCTAGTTCACACGAGGCCGGACATTGCATTCACCGTGGGCTACGTCAGCCGCTTCATGGAGGATCCCCAAGAGGATCACTAGGCCACGGTGAAGCTGCTGCTGCGCTACGTCAAAGGGACGGTGGATCAGGGGATCGTCTTCCCCAAGACCGGTGGAAGTGGGTTGTAGCTCACTGTGTTCAGCGATGCAAACATGGAGGGGGACATCGACGGACGGCGAAGCACCTCTGGCGTGCTTGTCTTCCTCGGGTCGGTTCCAATCTCATGGCTGTCGCTAAAACAGAAGGTGGTGGCCCCGTCCACGTGCGAGGTAGAGTACGTGACGACGGCCATAGCGGCGTGCCAAGTTATGTGGCTGCGCCAGCTGCTGGTTGAGCTGACCGGTATGGAAGCTCACCCACCAGCACTGATGGTGGACAACCAGCCTGCCATCGCCCTCGCGAAGAATCCGGTTCTCCACGACCGGAGCAAGCACATCGACGTTAAGTTCCACTTCCTCAGGGACCGTGTCAATGGAGGGCAGATCGTCATCGAGTTTGTCGAAACTGGTCGGCAACTCACGGACGTCCTCACCAAGCCGCTCGGCCGTCTTCGATTCACGGAGCTGAAGAAGATGATCGGTATGGTAGAGGTTCTAGGGTTAGCAGCAGGATTAGGAAAAGAATTGTTAAGTAATCTGCTTCTCTCCTTTGTACGCGCGGCAGGGGCAGGCACCAAAAGGGCTCCCCTGCTGCTGCACTGTAGCCGCAGCAGGGGCAGGTGCCAAAAGGCTCTCCTGCCGCACTGTAGCCACAGCCGGGGCAGGCGCCAAAGTCAGCCCTGCTGTCACATCTAGTCACTGTTGCAGCATGACAGTCTGGCATGTCTGTGTACTAGGATTAGATGGGCAGGGTTGTATATATAGCTTCCCACTGCGACTTAGTAAAGTTGAGAGAGTTCAGTTTTGCCATCTCCTCTGCAGAGCTCCGTCCAACGCTGGTGCTTGTGCTGTGTGTGCGCGCTCTGTTCTCCCTCCCTTTTCTACCTCAAGCCGTAGTGTGCTGTCGACAACGACGGTGAGCGGTCAGCTCACCCGTGCGGGAGATCTCGGGACCAACAGAGAGCACAACTTAATATAAGTAGAACAATAAATTCCTAGCGGCATACCAAATCAGTTTCAAAGATTGTTGATAATAATAAGATTTAGGTAGGATCGACCCAGGTCAATATAAGATTGTGATATTACAATTCCATAAATTCAACATTGTTGAGCTCTACTATGTGCCATGTTAGTAACTGAACTATTACTTATTCAGAATATTGCAACACCAAGAACCAAGTAAAGTCATATACCTGGACTGTAGAAGCGCATGTATGGAAAGACAGAGTGGATTGCTCTGCCATTGTATACCTTCTTCACCATATATGTCTTTAGATCAACTGTGTAGAGTGCGCCATTCACCGTCACGAAAACGATATCGAGACCATCTGCGAAACCAACCACAAAAGCATATGGAATAAAGACAGGGTCAACTTGGAGCCGCATCCCAAGATCAATGGCTTTGATTTGTGTCCATCCAGCACTAGCTTCAGGAGTGTCCATCCTCAACCACATGCAGAGTTGGCCGTCTAACAGACTGACGAGCCCCAGACCGTCCTCCGTTGTTGTGAGCACAGAACGCTGGTAACAGTAGTGCATGGTTGGAAGCTGAATCCACGAAATCTCACGCAGTTCCAAATCGTACTGCAAAGCTGTGTTCGTCATTGGAATCCCAAAATAAAGCTCGTTCCCGAGTAGCACAGCGGGCGAGTAACCAGAGTAGATGTAGCAGTCATTGAGGTGCTGAAGGGAGATTGGCTCGCTCCACACGGCAAAATAATCCGACGAGTCGTAGGTGCAGACGAACATGTCCCTTGGATCAGTGCCCACGAAAACCACGAGGAAAGATCCACCACGGTGGCAATCATGGTGGTCGGAGGCGCCGGCGCCGGCGCCACCGGCTGCGGCGCAGAGAACCGCCGCGGTGCAGCTTACCGCCCGTCGCGGCGGGACGGGAAGCTCCTGCCGGTCCTCCGTGATGGGGTCCCAGACGACGAGGACGTTCTGTGTGGGTTCCCGTAGGAGGACACGGCCGTGGCGCGCGTCCAGCGGGCACCAGCGGGATCTGGTGGCATGCAGCGGTGAGGAGGCCGTTGTGCGCACGAAGCTGCAGCCGTTGCCGTGGTGGTTGCAGAGGAATCCCAGCATGGGGGGCGTGCGGTGGAACTCGCGGAATCTGCGCTGGAAGCGGGGGTTGGAGACGAGGCAGCGCCATGGCTTGCAGACGAGGGCGGCGCGGACGAGGCTAGCGGGCTCCTGCGGTGGGAGGCGGAGGAGGATCTCTTCGATAAGCTCCTCCATCAGCGAACGCGGCGGCGACGACGGCTCCGCCATGGTTGTGGCGGCGCGATGGTTTTGCTCGGGGACAGCCGGACAGGGAAAGCTGTTTTGTTTTTTTCTTTTTGACAAAGGGTATGTTCGCTGGTTAGGGTTGGTGCTGGTTTGGGCTGGCTGGTGCTGGTTTTTTGTGAGAGGAAAACACTGTTGGCTGGCTGGTTTGGGCTGGCTGAAACCAACAAGCGAACAGGCTGAAAAGCTGTTTTTTTATTTGAGGATCCACCGGCTCAAGACCCAACCCAACACGAACCATGTTGAGGGGCGACCTGACTGACAGGTGGGGCCTGTAAGCCAGTGCGCCATCGCGCCCCCGGGGGCACCCCCAGAGGCCCCGACCTCATGCTCGCCGGGTTCCGTCTCCGCCGCCCTACTCTCCTCTTGCCGCCGACTGCCTACCGCCGCCGCGCAAGTCGCGTCTGCGTACAGATTCTGACGTGGTGCGCCGCGCCCGTCAATGGTTCGACGGAATGCGCGGACCCCCGTGTCTGAATGCGCCCAGCCGCTGGTGCTCACCGCCGGCCGCGCCGATTCTGGAACGGGGGCAATGGAGCGATCTCACGCGGGGTCAAATGCTTCACCGGCGAAGCCCGTTGGAACGCTGTGACTGAAGGTGACGAGCACGTTGGTTCATGCCCACTAGTTCAGAGGAGGAATCCAGGATTCATGCCAATTTGGCGTTCATATATAGTACTAGAAATTTCCGTGCGGCTCAGAGGCTGTAGATCGGCACTGTTACACAGGTAATGCCTGGGACAAAACTCAAAAGCGTTGCAAGGTTCATACATCAAATTTTACCTCTGAATGAATGGTGACTGTTTAGTTGCATAAACGGTTGCTGAGTATTTTTTGCTTCAGTTAACAATTGCAGAATAATACACAAAATACCATGTTATAAACTGAAGGTTTCCAGCATCTTGTTCATTAGTAGTTCACATAATACACATTATTCTGCATGTAGAACTTATCGCAGCTAGGCAAAAACAGGACATTGATAACACTACAGAAGTGCAGAAAAAGTTTTAAATAGATAGCTTCGTCACCGTAGTTCTTAAGAATACCAGAGCTCACATGTAACAGGAGAATTAAACAACTTCATGATCTTTCTTACTGTGGTTCACTAACACCATCCAGTGAATTGCTTGTGGCATGGCCATTAATTTCAACGTGCTTTGCTTACTTTGCAGCTGAATCCCTAGTCAGCCTTGAGCCTTGCCCAGCTTTAAACCACAAACACATAGACTTTTTCATAGAGCTTGTCAAGCAGCCTGAAATAAGAATTCATCCATGTCTTATTGAACAGCAGGGCACAAAACACCATCCACAGCCCAACAATAAATCTCAATATAAGACCAAGATAAAAAGACACTAGATCAAGTTCTTCTCTGTTACTTCTGTGATCACCTGTGATCACCATGGATGGGAGGAGATGGAGCCTCTCCTCTCCCCCTCCCCCTCCCCCAACCCCAACCCACCGCCCGCCACCCAGGCGCCGTCGGCCACCAACCTAGCCCTCTCCCCCAACCCCTCCAGCCGGCCGGCCGCCTCCCAGGCACCGCCGGCTACCTACCCCTCCTCGGCTGCTCCGGAAGGTAAGGGACCAGACACCCTCTCCCCCCTCGCGGCACCGTTCTTCCCCTCCGGCACCCCAGGGAGATCCAATACCATGAGGTGGTCCACGGATTCCGACTACTCCGGCTACTCCGACACTGACGCGGAGTCCGCGTAGCCATCGTGGCCCTCCTACATCGATGTCGTCGGCCGGGGCTCACCGTCACAGGTGGCTATGGAGGCAGGGACAAGTGCCCAGCCGCACCCCTGTGCCGTCGATGAGCAGCCGGCGGAGATGCGGACTGAGGAGGAGCGAAGCCGCCCGCATTGCTGCAAGCGGGGCAAGCGCAAGAGGAGGCCACGGCAGGCGGTGACTTCGGGCAACCCGCCCCAGGACTAGCGGCGCATACCGGCCAAGCAGCGGCTAGGGAACCATGTTGTCCTCAGCGACAGGGACAGGGGCCGTGTGCTTGCCGCCCAGCGTCTCGGCCGCCGCGTCAATAGCCGCGAGCCCTTCCACAACCGCCTCTGTCTGCGCGTGCCGCCAAGGGGTCGTCGCCGAATTTCACCGCCTGATGCTGAGGGCTGGCGGGAGGTGCTCCCCCGGTCCATGCCGGAGAACAGTGGCTCTTTGCCTCTGGTGGGGAACGCCCACCCATGGCACCGGCCGGGGAAAATCCCCGAGGAGATGCGAGACAAGTGCCTCAACTGCCTCTCCCGCACACACTGGATCGCGACCTGCTGCCGCCCGCTGAGGTGCCTGCACTGCTATTACCATCGCCACTACGCCAGGGACTGCAAGCGGCCAAGAACGCCTCCCAACGGCGGCGGCGGCGACGCAACCGTGCCTAACCGCTTTGTTAGGGCACGACGCGCCTTCGACAGTAACGACATTGTGGTCGGCTCACAGGCAGACGGCGCGACGCCGAACAACGACGCGGCGAGCGACATCACACCTGCGGGTTCCCAAGCTACCGGTGTGACCCCGCCCAACACCTCGACCCAGGCCGATGCGGGGTCAGGTGCATATGGACCGTGATCTCTTGCCGCCCGGACACCCAGACGAGCGGCAATGGGAGAGTGCGTGCATCATCCAACGCAACACCACCATCGCTGACGCTGAGGTCGGTCTGGGCTTCGCCATCACCGCAATGGTCGTGGATGCGACGCGCGCCATCTCTACCGCTAACGCCACCCGCGCTCTGCGGAGCATCGACGACGTCAAAGAAGGCTCCTTCTCCATCACGCCATTCTACCCCGAGCACTTCCTCTTCTAGTGCAGGATGCAAGCCACGCGGGACAGGATTCTAGGGAAACTCCGGTGCCTGTGCCCAGCACTTGGCTGGTGCTATGCCCCTGGACTCATCTGTCGCACGCCGATGCCAGTACGTTCAAGTTTAGGGTGGCGATTGAGCTCGAGGGCATTCCTCCACATGCCTATGCTGAAGACACGACAGCCAAGATCCTCGCACCGAGCTGCTGGATCCACTCCGTCGACCAGCAGTCGTCTTCCAAGGCGGACCTCTCGGCCTACAAGCTGTCGACATGGACGTGTGACCCAAGGGCGATTCCCAAGGTGGTCTGGCTCCACATAGCCGAGAATGAGGTCATCCACGCCGGAACATCGGCCATCCCCACCTTCGGCAACCTGCCGCCGTACATGCGGAAAAAGGACATCCTCGGCTACCGCATTCTCGTGCATATTCGGTGCGTCACGGATTTCGACCCGGGGAACCCTTCCCCGCCGCCGTCGCCACCGGAATCGGACGACGGGGATAGCAGTCATGACAGGAACCCAGAACGGCACCACTTCTTCCGGGGCACTGCGCCGCGCATCCAAGGATACTGGTGTCACCGGGGGACCGTCGACGGCGAGCAACCCATCGTCGCCAATGGGGGCGGTGCGCACTACGGTCGTACCACCGACGTCACCGGTCTGTAGATCCAGGCTGGCGGAGCTAAAAAGCAAGATACTCCGGGTGCCAACCTTGACCCGGTCCCGCATTCCTTTCCCTTGGTGGAAGACGATAGAAGCGTTGCCGGGGCTAAAGTGGAGAACAAGGGCAAGCAAGCTGCTCATGAAGACCACCAATTCAAATTTGAGTGGCCCCAAGACTACAACACGATCGCTGGAGGGCAGCCAGACTTGGATCCTATGATCCTTGAGGTAGGGCTCCTCAGTGGAACGGCCTCACCAACCAGCCCACGCACCGAACGTGGGGTCTGCACCAACAACGATAGGGTGGAAACCGATGCATAGGTTGCGATGGTCCCCAACGACACGGCGGACTCCACCAACGCGCAGCCCGTGCCTCTGGAGGACTCCGCCCACACTCAGCCCGTGGCCCATGATGCGAGAGTCCCGGACATGGTGGGGGGATTGACCACACCTGCTGGTACCGCCTCGGTGACCGTGGCAAGTCACCTAGAGACTGGGCCCGGTGAGGCCACGCGGCAACACAATGCGATGGGGGGAGACATGCAGCCCGCGTGTGATGACACGACCCAAACCGTCGATGTGAGCACACCCACATCCCAGCCTGCTCCCGAGAACATAATCACCCCGGGGCCACCGGCCAGTAACCAGCCAGCATCAGCCGAACCTGGATCAGCCGCCTCGGCTGGGGACACAACCCCATCAACTGCAGAGGGCGGAGGCGGCACGGCACCTCACCAAGTTCACCAACGACATCAAGCGCAAGCGGAGGTCTCCCCTGATCGCCTCGCCACCAAAGCAAAAGCCTCCGATCAGGAAGGCACCAATCCCGGTACGAAGCCGGCGCATCGCATCACAGCAAATGGGCATATCTCGGTATCCAAGCGTGGCGAAGTGCTCGTCATGAAGTAGATGGGATTCACGCATCCCAACGCGATGCCATCCTCTGGGGAGCGGCGAACCTTCAACGCCTTCTTCGACAGGAACATGACGGATCAAGAGGTTGAGGCCATGGACGAGCTCTTCCCGGCAACCAAAACGAAAGCCGATCGAGTGAGCCGCCGGCCCATCGCCGCAGCGGCCTAAGTATAGGTCCATGGCTCAACGGTTGTCTCCTTTCCATGGATAGCACAACCATTCTATCTTGGAACGTGCGTGGACTCAACGCACGAGCGCGGCGGGACGCGGTCTGCACGCTAGTCAACGAAATTCGGCCATCTATCTTGTGCTTACAAGAAACTAAGCTTGATGTAATCCCGTAGAACATTGTATTCGGCATGTCGGGAGTAGCATTCGCGAAGTTTGCTTACTTGCCCGCATCCGGCACACTGAAATGACCCCGATTTCCGCGAAGGGAAATCCACAGTGTCGAAGTGTAATAAGACTGTTGTAGATCATATTACCCAAATTCCAGTCGATTATCACATCCATACCACGATAATATCAGAGTACAAATAGTGCAGAATTACATAAATTTATTACATCGCCGCATTGGCGGAATCAAAAGTAGCAT